TATAAAGACACAAAAGCGGCATCTCGAAAACGTTTTTCTTTTCTTCGTCTGACGGATGCAACGAGTGCTTTTCGCAGCGGACAGTTTTCTTTGATTGTCGTCCCAAATGCCCGCAGGCTTACAAAACAACCGATTTTCCGAACCTCGTCTTCTTGACGCCAAGCATATGTTTCCTTCCCCTCTAATTCGAATCGTCCAACTCCCAGATGCACTCTTGCAGGTTCTCAACTTCAGGCCTATTTTCTCTTCCTTCCTTTTTGTTTTTACAACCCAATTACTGGCCTTGCCTCCCGTCACCCACTGCTTGTCCCTTCTCAAGTCCCGTCACTTGAAAAGAGTATTTGCTCGAAATTGTGTGTCGTTCTGCTTGTTTGTGTGTTTTCCTAAAATCGAAAGACTGCCCCTAGCAGGGACGTGGGCACTTGGCACCAGTTGATTTATAGATATTCACGTCGTGGGCTTTCCGGGTGGCCTCTTCTATTTTGGGTGGTGAGATGGACAAGCACAAGCGTGTTCGATCTGATTCGGAAGTGCCGGAGAAAAGATTGCAACAGCCGTTTGGAATTCTACATGCAGTAGTCGTTTGTACCTCGATCAGTGGTTATTTTGACGGAGGAATGTTGCCGCAACATTGCTCACCAAATTTTCAAGGGAAGCTTTGTGTTTGATGAAAGATTGTGCGCACACAATAGAAAACAATTCGACCGACGAGTGGATTAGAGTGGCATAAGAAAACATCTACAAAGCTGAATGCAAGGTATGACATATTATTATTGAATTCACATTTGCACGATTTTTATTGCTTCCGTCCGATTTCGTCTCATCAAAGAAATCTGAAATTAGAATTGATCGATTGTAAACTGGCACCATGCTTGGATATCCACGAAATCTGGACGCGTGCTGTTGTGTTTGTGTGTACCTTATGGTGGTCGTGCATATTTTAATGTTTTTTAGAGACCAGGTATCTGCTATGTTAAAATTTTAAAAAACCAAAGTCGCCTGTAATTTTGACAAAAAAAGACTAAATTATTTATCACATAGTGGATTTACTTGGATACTGCCTTAAATTATGGTCTTGTTCAAGGAGCTATTCATGGTAAATATTGAAATAGGAAGAACCAAACATGTTAATATTCATTATTAAGAAAACCTTAGCTTTTCAAAATGATTAGATTCACTACCGTGAACAACACAATGTCTTATAACAAATCTATGCTAATTTAAAGGCAAAAATATTCCAAAAGCCGGAAATCATAATGATCAAAAAAACTGCTCCGACTTTACTCAACAAGATTAACAATTTAATCAAACGTTTCGTCTCCCATCCGGGAAACATCGTCAGACGATGTTTCCCGGATGGGAGACGAAACGTTTGATTAAATTGTTAATCTTGTTGAGTAAAGTCGGAGCAGTTTTTTTGATAATTTAAAGGCATATTAAGAAAAGTTCCTTTTCAATGTTTTCTCTTTTTTGTTTTTTGTAAAGTAACGATGAAGTAACGGCATTGCTTTAGCGAAGCAACTGTAACTAGTTACTCGTTCAATATCGTAACTGTAACTGTAACAGAGTTACTTTCTTTTGCCTAAGTTAACTATAACTGTAACACTGTTATATTTTAGTAGCAACGTGTCCATGACTGCTACATCAAGATGGATACGCCGATGTTCGAGGACTGATCAAAGTAAGGTCGCTCACCACAGAGTAGGACACGACGTTCTGCAAAGCCATTTCGGCAGGCAAGAGACTTGTCATCACGCTCTGTGATAGTCGGGATGGCGTATGTCCCCCAAGAAACGCCCCCTCCTTGATCATTTGAATATGAACATCCTCGAAATATATGTGAAATTTCGTGGCGCTCCCCTCGAATGCATCGAATGACCCAAACAAGATACAATTCAGGAATTCTAGTTGAAAAAAAGTTTGGTGTTGATAGTTATGACGGTTTGCGGAAAGTTGCCCATGGCAAATGAAAACTAAGCGAAAGCTTTAATTAAGACGGAAAGTAATCGTCTCTACTTTCACCGTGTTTGTCGGTGCATTTTCCGTCCAAAGAGCGGAACACAAAAACCGTGTCACCCGACTCTGTTTGTCTGTGAATTTTAAAGTGTTTTGTTGACAACTCCAGTCCCACTAGGAAACAAGTTTCCTTGTCCCTGTATTCTGTGTCGCTTCCACCAGGTGGGACAGGGAACTCCGACAAACGGGCTGTAACTGTTGGTATCGTGCGTAGCTATCTGTTGTTGCTGTCTGTAGCTCTAGTGATGTGCGGTTATTAAAAAATATGAAGTTCGTTCACCAGCTTGCCTGCATTTTTAACTTTCATTGTTTTGAATATCTAGTAAATATAATACATAAACAAACCCAACTATTAAATCACCTGATCCAAATTAATATGTCACAGTCCCCACATCAATATGAGAAAGAAAAAAACCCGGAGCATCAGCTCTATCATCAGACATTATCAGCCGCAACAAGCCAACATATCAACAATATTAACTGCATGGTATTATTTGCCAAGAGAAACATGAACACTCTTTTTCCTGTTCAAGATCTTGGCAATTTGAAGCTTTTGGATTGCCTGGGGAGGAGCTCCATCAGTCGCCGAGCCACCTGTGTCCTGTTGGGTCTTTTACTTACTGTATAAACTCGTGTAAGGGCCGCACTATTTTTTACCGATTTGAGGGCAAATTTTCAAGGTGCGGCCCATACACGGGTAAAAAAAGAATAAAATCTTTATCCACATTGCGAAATGAACGTACATGAGCGCGCTCGGCTGCACTGGTCGAAAATGCCTTCACTCCAGAATTTGGACTGAATCGTCACTCGGATTTAATTAGTTTACATACTGCGCAATAAGCATCTTTTTTTTTTTTTTTGTACTTGATAGCATGCGCGGCAACTTTCGACTTGAATCCCGAATGACTGTTGAAGTGGTACTGGCCCATAGCTCTGATTGCGCGAAAAGGCAGACAAATCACGACGCTTTGACACTATAAGAACAAAAGAAAACCTCCCCAGAGCGTACAGTGGCGATCAGAAACCTGAGTGCACGCGCGAGCCGAGCCCGCTGAATCCCCATTCCTCGCGCTTGCCACGGAAGCTGACATATTCTTTATCTTTTTTCAATTTCTTCCGGCCGCAACATAAACTCATCCCGACGGTGCGGCCGACCACGATCGAGGTCTGCAGCCATGGTGCCATACGGGGATACGGATGAGTGGAGAGGAAATATCGGAGATGCGGAGACGTGCCGCTACTTGCTCGGGCGGTGGCTAGTGCCCACCTAGCGATATATTTTCACAAAACCTTTCATGCATTACAGTCGGCACGCCTCAAAAACAAGGGGGTGCGGCGCATACACGCGATTATATGGTATGTACCATATTTACTCGCATAATGAATGCACGCCCCACAATGGGAATCAAGATTTTGACTTTTACAGCGGAGCTGTTAAGGGCTAGTTCCCCCAGGATTGTGTCCCCCACAAAGAAATGTCGACACAAAACTCTGGACAGCTACCGCCATCTATGAGCGATGGTGGCAACCAGACAATCGGCTTGCCGGCCTTGCTCATAGATGGCAACAACCTTTCCAGGCTTTCCACTCTGGTTTTCACCAGAGTGGAAAGGCTGAATTTCTCTAGGCGTCGTCCCAGAAGTTGTCCTTGAGATTGTCCGAGAGGTCGTCCTAGAAGTTGTCTTTGAGGTCGTCCTTGAGTTCAACCTTGATGTCGTCCGAGAGGTTGTCCTAGAAGTCATCCTTGAGGTAGTCCTAGACGTTGTCTTCAAAATCATCCTAGAAGTCATCTTTGAGGTCGTTCTAGACGTCGTCCTTGAGGTCGCCCCTGAGATCGTCCTCTAGGCGTCGTTCTCAAGGTCGTTTTAGAAGTCGTCCTTGAGGTCGTCCTAGATGTCGTCGTCCTTGAGGTCGTCTAGATGTCGTCCCTGAGGTCGTCCTCTAGGTGTCATTCTCGAGGTCGTTTTAAAAGTCGTCCTTGAGGTCGTCTTAGACATCGTTCTTGAGGTCGTCCGAGACGTCGTCCTTGGGCGTCGCCCTTGAGGTCGTCTGACCATAGTACCAGCTTCACTGGTCTCCCTTTTCACCAGAGTGGAAAGGCTAAAAGTTTTTTTTTCTCCCTCGCATAATGAACGCACTTTTAAATTTCGGCTCCGCGAGTATCGAACTGCGTCCAACTCAGCTAGCTACGAAGCGGCCGGGCCAAGTCAAGCCAAGCCAAGCTGCTCTCGTAATGGCTGCAAGTGCTTAGTTGTGGAAGTGATCAACCGTGAAACCGAGCAGCGCGCACACCTAATGAAGCTGGGGTTGAGGAATAGCCCAGCCCCCTAACATGCTTCGCCCATCGGATCCATTGATGTTAACGTACACGTCTGTGGTCCGCTTTCGGACAGTGAAATCGTGAAAGTGGTTAGGCCTAAGACCGGTCGTGTCGCTCTTCGTGCTAAAGGAGCTTCGTAGGTCGCTTTTCCTTCAGCAAAAGGCACACCAAAAGCGCCCCAGAAAAGGTTCGCAATTAGCACGGGGACTGTGGTGCTCCCATGATAAGTTGCGGGTGCGCCTCCGTCAGTCGAGACGTGCCACAGTACACTGCCATGTGATAATGGCACCTACGATGACATTTGCGCAAAGTGTATAAATGCAAAAATTTTACCCCACATAATGAACGCACCCCCTAAATATGTGCCAATTTCTCGGGGAAAAAATATGCATTCACTATGCGAGTAAATATGGTACCTAAGCGGTGGAAATTTCAAGGTATCGCACATTTCCTCAGAAAAAAGAGACCAACAAACTTGCCAGGGTCAATGGCATACATGTTCACAAACGACCAATTTATCGATGTTTGGAACTTGCGGTGCCATCTCCCGACAGGCGCAGGGACCAGACAAAAGAGTGTATCATCTGTTTGCAGCGAGCACTCCTGTTTTTACCTATCTGTAGTCAATGCACGTCAGTTCAAAGGAAGCCCCAAAGTATCTCACCCTTGGGCAGCAGAAGTCTGTGGGTAGGGCATCTGCCCGTAGGCCACCGGCTGAGACGTGGGAGGAAGGCCCGGTGCTGGAGCACCTCGGGGTGCCGCCATGGGTGCCCCGTAGCCCACCGGAGGTGCCTGAGGATGCTGCTGGGGCTGCTGCGGCTGTTGCTGTTGCTGCTGCTGTGGCGGAGGACCTACTCGGTAAGAAAGACACACACAGACAGATAAGACAGATTAAAGTGATGATTTCATCGAGTAAAGAATTGGAGATAGTGTACACAAAACAAGATATAAAGCACTAGCATACTATACTTTCGAAATTTAATCTCATTTCCAGCAAAAGCTGATAAATGGCAGAAGCTAATCATAGCAGGCAGAGCGAGGCACCAAGAAAAGCCACCGCCGGAGACCATTCGTCCTGTAGAGAGCTCTGTCATCCTTATTGGGGTCAAGGGGACCATGGCATTTGCCCTAATGTAACAAGTGAATGAAGAGTTTTATGCAGTAAGCTCTCAGAATGCAGTGCCAGCTTCAATGTTAACATTTTACATCATGTACAGCAGGGATCTCAAACATGCAGCCCACGATTTCCTAGAAAGCGGCTCCCCTAGTATCCCATGGCTGTGAGCCTCCGTTTTCATGTCTCGAGTGCTATAGAAATGGCAGGTTCCCAACTGTCTCATGTCGTCGAACCCTCCATTTCTGCTAAACATGTTTCACACAAATATTTATTTTTGCTTGCAATGATTATTGCTGTTTTTTTATCTTTGCTCCTCATATGTTCCTCATGTAAATCACCCCTACGACAATCCCACTCAAGGCTACAAGCATGAGCCCCTGCCGGTGCCAAATTATGGCATTTGGGGCCCCTACCGATGATGATAATAATAATAACCATAGTGGTGGTGGTGACAATGATGTTGGTGGTGGTGCTGGAGGTAAAGATGATGACGGAAAATGTGTATATTTCTACTTGTTAAATCAAGATGTTTCTACTTGTGACTATTGTCGAGCCTTGTTTAGATCCATAGATTCAATGGAATTCAAGTTTTCCTTGCTGACAATGAGACAAATGCGATTGGTGATTGGAAGCTACTTCGTAAATAATCAACCGCTCTAGCACTTTACAATACAGTAATTTTGAGGTATAAAAATGAAATCAAATAAACACTGTGGAAAATATTAGGATGTTTCATTCACATCCAGCAGCTTAACAAAAAAAAAAATGCTTCCATTCAAAATGGTGATTTTATTCATGACCTAGTTTGACTAGAGTTGCTGCTAGATGTATAGAGTACATGCCCGGGCCAGTTTAAACAAATTTATCATGATGTCGACTTGCAGCACAGGTGACCCTCTTGCTAACATGTCTAGAGACATCATTAATCACAGATGAATTGAGTTATGCAGCAATCGAAAAGATACCTGCAAAATTCCCATTCTAATTTCCCTTCCCCTAATAGGCATGCCTTGCAACTCGACAACCGTCACGAAAATCTAGAGCCCGCATTCTTGCAATTGTTTCCAATTATTGGAAGTTTTATAACTTCCAACTAGCCCCCTGTTAATTAATTACTAGTATGAACTGTGAAAAAAGCGGCATGGGTAAGAAAAAAAAATTTGTTGGTTGAAGCAGTCTTTATGGGATCAAACTACTTCGTAAACACTCTTCTAATAACTGAACCCTCGTTTCACAAACGAACAGACTTTTACATTTAAACCATAGGAGAAACTGCGAGCGAATCTACAACATCGACCACCGTCGTTCGTGCATACTTACATTTAAAAAATTTATCATTAGATCGAGAAGATTTTTCGTTTTGTATCTATACGCTGTCTTTTTGAATGGGGAAAATGTTTTATTCAGATTTAGTAGTAATCTTGTTCTTTTTAAATGCAGTAATTTAGACCTCGCCAGCCATTTTGATGTATGACTCAAAGTTAAAAAATAAGAGGTTATACCTCAGACGTTGATTAAACCATTGCAGTATTCATATCAGTCGCTGTAAGGAAGAGTGTTCAGTTGCAATGGCAGGACAGACACCGACTCTAGAGCACTTGCTTGCAGTCAGTACCCATCGAAAACTGTTGAGGGGCATCTCAAGAACCGGCTCCTTGAAACACCTGTTTGCTGGTGGTTATAGAGACGGTGTCCGGAAGATTCACAGACACCTTCGCTAGTTTCAAACTTATCATTCTGCAATAAACTCCATATGGAGTTTCGCAAAAAGGTTTAAATCAACACGTGTGAACCATCTGTGTTGCCCGAATAGTCTTTGGCAACGCTTGCTTAACTTCCTGCCCGTAATTGTCCGTAAAACATGCCGAAGGGGTCCCGTAGGTACAAAAGAAAGCTCCATAACCGTCCTTCCATCGAGCTTCCATTAAAAAAGACCCAGTCTAACAAAAGGCACGGGAGGCCGTCTTACATTCTGTTGTTCTGTTACGCTCTTTTACGAGCTCACAAATGGCAGCTTGTCTAGAGACGGAAACTTTATGGCATCTGTGTATTCCTGTTTAAAAAAAAAAAAAAGAGAAGAAGGCCATTGCACCAGAGGCCCCATTGAGTGTTTCTTCTGTTCTGTCTGAGCTTTCTTTTCATATTTCCAAGGGCCAGCATGGGGCCCCCTGACAGCCTGGGGGTCAGGGCTGAAGCCCCCTTAGCCCATCCCTTAATCCGGCCCTGGCCACTGCTCAAGGAAACTCTTCGGCATCGCAAACTGTCGTGTGGCAAGAGCAACTGTGAAAACCAGGAGTTCAGGCTGCAATCCTTTGCTGTTGCAAATCTTGAGTTAAAATCGCCAGAAAAGTGAGAACTCCCATTTGAGTGTACCCTCTTTTTCTTTTTAACAATGCCAGTACGTTCTTGGGTTGCCAACATTTTACATCTTGTTATCACATCAGATACAGGTAAAAAGTAGATTCAATTCACAATTCAAAGCTACTGGTGTTACTGGCAAAATGGCAACTTTAGCAGAGATAGAAAACACAAGGTCACTCTTCTAGAAAATCTGTGGGGTAGCAGATGGACTCAGTTGCATTACAATCTGAAGCAACGCTCTGGCTTTTTTGTGCCCCAAGATGTTCCCTCCCCCAAGCTGTCCCTCAACCTTTCAGGGGTAAGCACCTGGCCCCCATGCTCAAATGGGTTTGAGACCCCAGATGTAGAGAAAGCCTACTAAGCATTAATAAGGTTGCACGTCTTGCCTTGTGAAGGGTAGGGCTGCTGAGCCGACTGTTGAGGCATATAGCCTCCAGTGGGCAGTTGATAATGTTGCTGCTGCATAAGCATCTGTTGCTGCTGCGCCGCCTGCTGGAGTTGTCTTTGCTGACTAGCCGTTGCAGAATCCAAGCTTGAAATGCTGTCAGGTGTGCCCACACGACCATTCTCGCCTGGAAATGCATGTCACGAGATCAGATTGGAGTAGCGCTGTCCAGATCGAGGCAATTGCTTTTGCTAATTAAAGCTAGCAACTTTGACTAATCTAGGCTAAACTCTACAGCTCTGCCCTCTTTGTCCATTGAGCTTTAAATGAAACTTCTACAAAAACAGTGAACAAATCATAAGCACACAAACAAATATTATTTTTTGGAAATATTGTTCTTTCCAGAGATCTTGTTGTTTCAATAGAAACTCCATAGGGCAACCACTGTCTGAGTGGAAGATTTAGTGCTCCTGCACGTTCAGGCAACACCCCTCCCTGCCAAACTCGACCCAAAAATAAAATCTGGTTCAACAGGTAGAGGCACCTAATGGGAAATCCTTGGAGCTCCGGGACCGAACACGACCACAATCAGTGGACCTCATATCTCGTGCTTAAAACATCCCGGGTGGCTTGCCAAACTGTGATGCAGCGCTCGTGTCCCATCAATCCGTGGCATATCCAGCCCAAAGTTGACCCTTTAGGCCACCAACTGCGCTGAATAGCAGCAGCTGACCACAGTGCCCCCTGTTTACTGCCCTGGAGCCCTATCTTGATCAAGGTAAGAGCAAGAGCGTCCTCGGTTGCCGATTGGACGTGGCGCCACAGCTTGCACGTAATCAACCAATGAATAGGACCTCTTCGACCCATTTGCAACTTCACAATTGGGCAATATTTTTTTGTGAGAATGTCTCACCAACATACAAATAGTGAAAGGTCTTGCAGCCTCTGATGTGCTTGTCGTTGGTGCTACTTCGTCCACTGATCGATGTTAGGTTGTGCATGGCAGCGGAACAACACGAGGTTTGCAAACAAAGTGCAAGTTATTACTAGCTTCTAACGCGAGGTAGCAGACGAATGCAATTTAGGAACGTGTCCGATCTCAACTCACCGTGGCACTTAGTTCAACAAAACTGTTTCCAGTCTGTTAGCACATGACATACTCAGTGATGTGATTGGCCTAAGCTATTTTGTAGCACCTTTCGGAGCAGCCAAAATAGTGTTATGGAGCAGAAAGAGTGGCTTTTGGAGCAGCAAAAACAGTGTTTTGGGGCAGAAACAGTGGCTTTTGGAGCAGCCAAAAAAGTGTTTTGGAGCAGCAAAAGTGTTTTTTGGAGCAGATATTCTCATAAAAATAAAAATATTTGTTTTAAGTCCTGGACAAACGAAGGGTATTTTGCTCGCTGCAATAAACAAATTACGGTCAAGTTAGACCACCTGGGAGTCTTTCAACATGTAACTGAAATGCCAATGTCATACATTTTGCAATGCTTCAGTTAAATGATACATATATATGTACCCCTTATAGATAAATATGAACCAAACTGCACATATTCAACCTCATTTGAAAATGACCAGCTTAGTAATAAATATCACAGCATTAGGTTGACCAGTTATATAATATATGGAGGCAGTCTCTGGCTGATGAAACATGTAACTACTGCAATGCAATGCGAAATTGTACACAAGGCAAAGGTGCATTACGATTAGAAGGTGCTTTTCTTTTTGCCTTTCGAAACTTTGTGCAAGGCTGCTGCAAGCCTCGCTTTGCCTTCGGCTAGTAATGAATGTCCACTTGCAACGCCTCTAAAGAGACATGAGACATCCCACAAGTGTACATACATTGCTGTGGGCGTTGCCGAGCAATCCCTAAAAACGTTTTACTGGATGCCGATGTGCCAAAGTTTCGTAAAAAGTAAGTAAATGTAAAACAATGGATTGCAAGCGTCCCGGCTGGTGCCTCTGTCGTGCATACATGTTCGCATGGACATGAGGGCAACTTCGGAAGGCTTGCAGTTGCACGTGCTTCGTCACGCGAGCAGAGGTGGCTGTTCGAACGAAACGGAAACCACACCCCTCCGGGGAGGCACTGACCTGATCGAATGACGTTTTCGCGAACGTCCACGTTTCACCGCATCACACTTTAGCGAATAGTCGGACGCCGCAAAGCGGCGTTTTCGGGTGGGCTAAGTGGGTTCACATTTTTGTAAGGAGCCGCCGCAGACTGTCCCCACTGTCGACGCGAAGCGGCGTAAGCGCAGCGCGGGGGGTGGGTTAACGTGCGCCCCCGTTATTCGCTAAAACGTCAATACGCTCAAATGTCCCTGTTCGCTAGAGCATCATTCGCTCATGTGATATGGCACTCCGCTCCGTCACCAACTGGTTCCCAAAATTGTATGCAAAATATAACTGCCCAGCATACGACAAAAAACAGTCCAGAGGCACACGCTTGCCAGTCTGGCAGGCAAGGTACAAGCTAAACACACAGAAAAAAAGAACCTGAGCACCTCGATGCAAGTCAATGCGAGCCAGGGTCAAAAAGTTCTTGGAGCGCTTTGTGCAACGACTGAACTCAAGACAAACGAGCGCGCTGTGCGGGCTCAGCGTGCAGACATTGCATTCTTTGCTTTAGTTCACTTCTCTTCACCAGCTTTCTTTCACGGCAGATTTTTCCCGTACCGGGGTCCCTCTCGAAAGAAATACCACAGAGAGAAACTATAGGTAGTTAATACTTCGAAGTTCGACACAGCAGTCTTTGAGTTAAAGAGAGATGAATTTTTGTAGTAGCGTGTGATTTAAACAAGAACAGGAATGTTGATGAACATACGGCAGTCCTTACGTTACAGTTTAAAAAGCACCATATCTGCAGCAACGTGGGGACGGTAACACTCGACGTCGCGCGAACACGGTGACTGGCAGGCAGAGACCAAATATAGTTTTCCCACAGCCTTTGCTTTCAGAAGCGAGTGCCTCAGCTCATAAAGTAACAAAGTAACTCCCGCCACGCAAAAACGTGGTTTCGTTTCACAGCATGACGGTATGGCTGGTACCCTGCACGCTTGCGTCAGCCGCGAGACGAGACCCACGAGACAACGAGCGCGAAACAGTCTGTCGGGCGGCCGCTTGCGCCACCTAGCTCACGCATGCTCAATTATGGCATTCAGTTTAGTTTCGGTGTTGAAAGGCGACCAAAACTGGCCCTTTGGCACAGGCTTGGCGCAGATTACGGATATTTTGACAAAATGTAGCAGGATGTAGCAGGGTTAGGCCCTCGGTGCAGTTTGGCACAATTGGCGCAGCAATCACATCACTGCATACTGCGTTTTCTTGCTTTATGTTCTTCGGCGAATCACGCTTCGTAGCAGACAAATTACATTCTTCGCACGTGTTAGCAGACAAACCGCCTGTGAATGCCATGTTCGATTTTTCCGCGACAGGCAAATTATATCTCGCAGTGACCAAAATCGAACCCCTGGGGCTATAGCGGAGACATCTGACCATAACTGCCATTTGGTCCTGGCAAGAGTGAATGAGGTAACGGCTGCCTTTAGGGTGTTTTCAGGTACTTTTTTTTTTTCTTAGGAAAACCATTGTGCCCGAGGCGTATATCTGACCGGCACATTTACCACATCCTCAACAGTGACCCCTCGATTTCTGCCCAATAATGTAGTATAAGTGTCGCACTACTGCCGGCTGTGATCCTGGCAGCGGTACAGCGGGGGAAAAGTGGATGCGACAGGCGTCCGTTCTGCTGTAAGGCGTTCGGTAGCCTGCCAGTCGGTGGAAATCAAAGCAGACGCGAGACGGGACAGTGAGACGACAGCGACCCCCGCATCTCCTTGCCTTTTTCACTGGCATTTCTACGCCCAGCCGACAGGATCGTGACATCCGACACTGGGACACACAGGCTCTGGATGACTCAACTTGCTGCCACTTCGAGATAACTTTGGATGTACAGGCAGGATAGGACACTCAATTGCGTACCAGGCACAGTACTAAAACATTAGTATCCACCTGGAGCTCCTTAAAAGGGCTTTCTTGGGCATCACTGGGGGTGGAGTGTCGTGCTTACCTTCGGCAGTGTGGGAAGCCTTTGTTTTGCCTTGTGCGTTGGGGTCGTCACCGGCGGCTTGCTTCGAGACAAGAGGGTCGAATTCCTTTGGGGCGACTGCCTTGGCAGCACGTGACCCGGTCTGACCTGCAACAATCGACCGGGGTTAGAGACCACGCAGGTACCTCTAAAGGCTGACAAACAAGCAGGAAAGAGTAAACTGCGCTCAATTCTTTCTTCCCTTGCCAGAAAGAATGAAACTGCTTCCCCTTATCGAAGGGAAGTAGCTCCAGGACTCGCTTCTTCGGGTGAGGGAAGAATGCAAGTAGAAAGAAGGAAATTGGAGAAGGGTTTTCTGCCTAGCAGAAAGTGCTGCCTGCACGTCGGCCGAAAAATATACCTTCAACGAATGCAGGAAGCACGAAGGATTGCAAAAAACAAATATACAAATCTTTCGCTATGAAACAAAAGCAAGCTTTTCAATCCTCTTTTAGACCACCCCGGGAAGATATTGATGCCTCGTGTCTATACATGTAGCATGCCACGGACAGATATTTTGAATGTTTAAACCAGAAGTGCCAAGACCACTTCTGCATTAACTACTGTCTGCATACTTTTAGAAGGCAACACCTATGAAGTCTCCTGTGCTCCATTATTCTATACAGCAGTTTTCTTTTCGGTGTCCTGTGCAATCTGATGGCAATTCCCAATCGTTGTTTTGGAGAAACGACTTAAATCAGCGCTGAAGCATGTGATCTGTGCAGAGCCGATGCACCTTCAAATCCACCAAGACAAGATAATCTTTCCTCTGGGAGCGGCCGATAAAAGAGGCAAACACCTTTCCCCCGAAAAGTATGTGCTTTTACACTATCACAGCATGTGCTTGAAGTAGGCCACAGTGCAGTCAAATGTATTTAAAAAAATGAGCGACGCAAGACAACTTTCAATGACCGCAGTGTCAACACAAGTGCCCCCAGACAGTTTTCTATGCTCGACTCAACAAAATGACAGTCGCCGGACGTCTGTAAATGCTTTAGAGCCACGCAAATGTTAAAAAAATAAAGTGATTAAGAAGCAGGCAATGAGGGCAAATGGTCAGTGTTGAGTAATAGCTATTATCCCTATCAAAGCAAAGGCCGAAACCATTGGTCACAAGTTTTAGACAATCTCAGTTTGGAACGCATCCCGTTGCACGAACACGTTTGTGGGTCCAGCTAGTGCTAATAACATTTACACTAGAGATAAACATTGTGAAAACACAGGGACACTCGATCAGCCGGCTAACGCAGCAAGAACCCCGAAAGCATGAGTGAATCCTTTCTCGGTTAGGCCAAGACACTCTACCAGCAATTGAAGAGCAACCTGATAAAATGAAAAGCAACCTAAAAAAAACTTTCAGCCTTTCTACTTTGGTGGAGAAAGAGAACCAGAGAAGCTTTACTATAGTGGGAATGAAGTAATGGCCGGCCGCAAGTCGGCAAGCCAGAGTGGAAAGGCTTGAAAGGTTGCGCCATCAATGAGCGACGGCGGCAAGCGGACAACTGGCAAACACAACACTCTGGACAGCTACCGCCATCTATGAGCGACGGCGGCAACCAGTGTTTTGTGTCGACATTTCTTTGCGGGGTCACGATCCTGGGGAAACTAGCCCTTAACAGCTCTGCTGTGATAGTCCTCCTGGATATTTGCAATCGACATCACTGGAGAATGCCGTCCCGTGGCACTCTTTCAACTGTGCTAAACACACACAAAAAATAGAAGCAATGCTTCACTGTGCACGAAATTATATAAACAATAAACATGGCAGATTGTTCCCGCAGTGTGTGTTCCAACACGATCAGCGAAAAAGAAAGCAATGTGCATGCCAAAAGCTGGGTTCCAGCCAAATCTACAGATTTTGGAGGAGCGGGTTCTCCCAGGATCTGGGGCACATCTGGAAGCGGCACCCTTCCGAAACAAGAAAACACAGAAGCTATACAAGTTCTTGCCAATCGCCAAATGGCAGATGAACGCTCCGTAAAGGCGATCCCAAAGCGTGCCACAACGACGATCGGAAACCGCCATAACATGTGCAAAGATGTCGCAGTGTGGTACAATTGGCTGCACAAGTTTGTTTAAATAGATTTTTGCAAAATAAGTGACTCTATTGGGCTTCCTGAGCCCCTGTCAAGCACGTCGATTTCATGTCCAACAGCACTGTGGAGATCTGCAGCATAAATTCCACGATCACACAGGGTGTGGACCAGCACATTTGGCACACCTTGCAAAATTTAAATTCCAAACGTACATGCCTAATATATGGCACAGAAACATTGTTTTGCAAGAAGTTTTATGTCTAAATTTCTTTTAGCACAACTCGGACGTGGTGACATATTAAATATAAAGCTAAAATGGCGGCTGTGCATTTTTTATGTCCTATACCAGGCCGTTCGTTGTCTGCACACTGGTTTGCGAGCTCGTTCACGGGCAGTTTGCCGAGTGCAAAAATGCTGATAACGGCATTGTAGAGGCTGGAAACAAGCAGGGTAATCATGACAAGCAATAGTTTTAACGAAATATATCGACGATGACTGCCTGGGAGCAAGCTCGCAAAGTAGTGTGTAAACGACACGTCTGGTATACACCAACTCAACTCTGTTACATCAAGCGGTGGTGGTGCATCGGGCACAGTTCTGGACTGGAGGTGCGGGCGGAAGTCGCTGTATGGGATGGGCATTCCGTTGAATTCACAGATACTTGTGGTCATCAGATTTATTTGTTTTGTTCCAACATGAACGCAGGAAAACCGCCAAGTTGTTCGGACCACCCGCCGACCATGTCCAGTGTGTCGTCACATTCAGACAGCCGTTTCATCATTCTAACTGGTGCTTGCTTTTTCAAACTCGTCTGCTTGTTCGAACTGTTTGTGCTCGTTCAAACGACAGTGGCACACAGACCAAACGTTGACCTGGTAATTGCAATAAGAAGTGCAGGCCTCAGACTTTTAAGTTTTTTGAAGCTTGTTTAGGATAAGAAGGCTTGGTGTAAACAATAGATACAAGCAGATGTTGATTATTGTTATCAGTGTCCATCACAGACTTGTTATGCCCGAGGAGTCACTTGGTCCGATTCTGCTTGCGATTTTCAGTATCGACGTCGAGCATTGCAGCTACCGTTCAGGGTTTTGCAGCGCGAGCGACATTGCAACTGAAATTAGCAAACACTCTCATCATGTTAATCAGGTTTTAGCCTCCATTCAGCAGCGTTCATACAAGTTGAATTGCCGCATGTCACATTATTTAAGAGAAGTTTTGCAATGCATTGAGCCTCAATAATTTCGCTGGAGATGTGAGACATAGCTAGGAAGACGTGGTATCAACAGTAACAATGCAAAATAGAGCTTGGTGTCTCACACTAATGCCGACAACATCACATTCTAATGGTTTGTTGATCTGGGACGGCGAGCTTCTTGCCCACACCCCATCGCGCATGCACGGCACCAATGGTGGCCACTAGGGACGCTCGTTTCTTTGTAAACACGAGTAATGTATAGGACATAGGAAATGCACGGCCGCCGTTTCTGCTCTTTTAAATTATTTCACCACTTCAGAGTTCAGTTCTAAAAAACAGACATAAAACTCTTTGCAAAACCCGTTTGCATGCCCAATTTCAACTACGTATGTTTACAGTTAAAATTTTGCAAGGCCTGCCAATGTGCTGGTCCTTAGGGCTACACTCAGCACATACAGTATTTTCCCACCTAGGTAGCACCGTTGTATAAGTCGCATATTCTGATAAACGACCCCTTTCACTAAAAAATAAAAGCGCAGGTAGCTTGTGCTTTTTTTTTTTTCTCATGCTCCCCCTTGTAGTTGGAATGATTACATTATAATGAAACTTTCTACTAAACAATATCTTGAAGAAAAAAATCAACAAAATTGTCATGCATACCTGAAATCTCTGCATGGTTCATCCAAGAGCCAAAAGAAACAAACCACTAACTTGAATTTTCTTCGGCCTCGGAGCTGGCGGGTACAAAGGTGCGTGGCTCGAACTTGTCCAACAGCCGGTTCACTATGTTCCTGATGTCTTGAAGCTCTTTCCTCAGGTGCTTGATCTCATCAGGCTCCAATGGCACTGGCTGGTGGTTCACTAGAGGAAAACAACTGCATGAGCAAAGCCCACAAGTGGGTGTGGCTCGCAGCCCTCGTAGCAAACTACCACGTAAATCGTGCCAACTTCAGTAATTGTTACCGAATATCGTCAGCTTAAGGATTCGGCTGCACTGGCACGCGAATGACAAGTCGGAGCTGTCAAATATGGTTATCAGGTCTCCGTCTGTGTGGGTGATAAGAGCAAGGTCAACAAATGATTACGAGCCTCAACGAAAAATACTGAAAAACACCAGTACGAACAACGACTTACCTTCGTCTTTATACTTCACTGTCACTTCGTCGCTGCTCGTCAGTTTTCCGCGGAAAACTCTCTGCATCATCAGTATCAGCTCATCGTAGGTGATGTCCTCGTTGTGAATGGGAATCCGTCGAATGTCGTCTCCTAGCTGTGCTTTTATTATCAGCTTCCCAGTCAGGTCTAAATGAGGGAACGTGCTGGCTTCCTCGTTCGCTGACGAGTGGTAGGTGTTCATGATGCTGCAATAGGATTTTCGACCTCTATGAGTCAACCACGACACGCTTCGCAAACGAGGTAAACACTATCAATATCAAAGCAGTGAGCATGGGAAGCATCGGTGGCTGGTCTAGGACGGTTTCGTTGCGGTGGTACACATGCGATTTTGTACAGGCAGTGAAGGACGTTAAAATGACACGTAGTCCGAGTTCTCTCAACTCATCCGTGTAAATAAGCGACACGACACCACGGGTGACGTAGAAGGGGATGAACCTCCGTAACACTGGTAATGATGCAAATGCAAGAAGAAAGTGGTCGCGGGTTGTTAGAGGCGCTCCCTAACACTCTAGAAATACAGCTACTTCAGGTTATCATCGAATATTACACTTTCTTACCCGAGAAAGACGACCGGCAGCGCTATTTCGCTTCCTCCTCCGTCGACGTCTTTGTGAATCAGTGTTGTCAGACGAAAATGATTTTCTCGACGTTCATGGAAGAATTTGTTTGTTCGAAAAGCGCAATGCTAAATTTCAAAAAGAAATTGAAACATCCGAAATGTATTCCAGGCTATATAAAAGAAACTAAAGTATTTAGTGCATGTTGGTTCATTTGTTAAAAAAGAAAATGCTGTGTGCCTCGGCTTTTTGCAGAGGCGCTAGTGTACTTACATGCTGCTTTCGTGATGCAAATTGAAGCAGACAGCAACCAGTCTAATAATAATAATAATAATAATAATATTAATAATAATAATAATAATAATAATAATAATTTATTCCGCTGATCTGATTGCTGCAGCGCGAGAGGAGCCACCGGATGGCCATCTTGCATGCCTAAAATCGCGTTTTTTGGAGCGTTGAGGAGGCTGGCGGCAGCGTGCTGAAGACAGATTTTCTACTCGTTTGTCGTCACTCGCCGAAGAAATTCTTGAAAGCGTCGCGTAAGTCGTGAGAGTTGCCGTTGAGAACACGTGGACATTTTTACGGAAGCGTAGTGCCGCAGGAAAAAGGCACAACTCGTCGGAAGCAAGTTTCACCAGTCTCGCGGCCTGATTAAAGCTTTTTTGGCTCGCCAAAGCGCTGCGTCTATGAGTCTTCGCACGCTTGCACACAGGATCGCGAAAGGCAGAAAGCTGTCGCCACAGTGCTACAGCACGAGGCAACCACGAAGAACCATGCCTTGGTGTTCAAGACACTTCGTTGAAGATACTAAAAAGTTTAAAAAAAATTGGGTTGTGTGTATGTTCATTCAGCCTAGAACTTGGTCTGCCTCAACGGGCGACGAGTCTCCCAGCTGTAGATGAGAAATTTAGTCAGTGCAGTACAATTGACCGCACGCTGGTACGATCCTCATCCAGATCGAAACGGGCAGGTGTGGGGATTGAACCCAGGATCCTGGGTTCTGCAGCGCGAGCTTTCGCTCCACGTGCTCCGAGCTGGTGTCCGCTAGCCCACCCGGCCACCGATCTTTTTTTCTTTTTTTTTTTTTTGTGCCAGAATTTTTTACATTGTCAAATAGGCCAGGCGTATTTCTCAAAACATAGGAAACAGGGCAGGGCTAAACTAAACCAGTCCGAAGTGACTGGCGCCGGGGGCTAACATTGTTTCATGGACAAAAGTGCCTCAACGCGCGGAAGCCACTCGGGCTCGCACTTCTGTGCTCTGTTGACTTCAACTAACAAAGATACACTTTCACGAAAATATTCCCGCGCCTCCCGTACATTATTGTCAGCATTGTGTACAGCCATTCGGGACTTCCAAATACTGTGTAGACCCAACAGCATAGCCAGGTCAAAGGGAAAACCTTCCTCGTTTTTAACCGAAAAATAACGGATTCCATGCGCGTCTAGGGTGAGGTCCTTCTTCAGGGTACGTTGCAGGACGTCCCAGAAGAAGACCCCATCCCAGCACTCAAGAAACACGTGTTCGACCGTCTCTGGCTTCTTGCATAAAAAACAGTGATCCCCCCACGGTACAAAAAGTCCCCTCTCGTTTAGACACGTCTTGACCGGCAGTGTACCTGAATGTAATATAAAGAAGAAAGTCTTGGTGCCTGCGGGCACCACCATACTCTTAAAGGGACACTGACACCCCCCAAAAAAAAATTTTTATTTTTTGCCAGGCGCTTCATTATGGTGTCGGAGGACTACCCAATTAATATTTTGCAACAGAGTAGCGTATTTCTTTAATAAAGCCAAAAGACGCAACTGCTCGAAACCGAAACCGAAACCCGACGGAGGTCGGAGAAGTGGAGAGAAGAGAGTGACTGGCGGAAGTCACGTGGCTACACCCGACCGTGCTTTTTTTTTTTGTTGTTTTTCTCCTCTCCGGTAGCAGACGACACGACATGCGGCGTGCGGGAACTGCTTGCCGTGCCATTCTTTTGCAGTTATGTTTGTTCCGCTCGTTGTTATGTACTCCAAGATGAGTTGTTTTGTACATTGAGGAGTTAGAGATGAGTAGTGAGTGCCCGTGGTGAATTTCCATGATCGGCCCCGAAAAGAATAAACCCCAGATGTTGCGTGAAGAGCTGGCTCACATGTCCTGCATCCGAAAAAAAGTGGCATTGTCGAAAGATCAACGGGATCGGGACCAATGGCTGGCTGCAATTCCTCTAGAACATTTACGGGCACCTCGGAAAGCGGACGCTACCTGATTTATATGCTCCTTGCACTTTGTGGAAAGTGATTACATTGAGTTCGCAGGTGTCAAAACGGAAATCCCATACCGTTTAATTCAGCGAAGTATCGTCCACAACATTTGTTTGTTATTTTTTTTTGTTTGTTTCTTCAGTGATGATTGTAAAAAAAAGAAAAAGATATGTAAACATCAGAAATTGTTTGCAAAAAAAAAAAAAAAAATCACGGGGGATCGAACCCGGACCTTCGGTGTGTGAAGCGGACGTCTTTCCCACTGAGCTACTGGGGCTTTTTTTTTTTTTTTTTTTTTTTTTTTTTTTTTTTTTTTTAATTTAAAATTGATTTTTATGTACATGTTTAAAAAAATTCGTTCACACTTCCTCATGCACTCAAAGTGCAGAAAAAAACACAAAACAGCATAACACAGTGTGCAGCGTGCAAAGTAACACAAAGCGACACAACAGTTCACGTGTCTAATCCGCAGTTCAAAGGCCGCAAATGAATAGGCAGTACTAACCCTGGAGACCGCCGCAAAGCAAATGGCGTGCCTCTACTTGGTGATGGCAGAGAGCCCGCGCACTCCGAGCCGAGCCTTCAGTGTTTCCCAACACTCAAGCCCATCCTGCTCTGTCGTCGCTACCAGCGAGCTGGCATACACAAAACCATCCAAAAAATGCCTCCAAGCTGGTTTCCCTCCTTCGACAACATGAAGGTGATCCGTTCTTGACCTCCACAACGCGTGCAAACCAAGGATGGTCAGAACCTCAAAGGCTCGACTATCTCTTCCCGTCCCACACTCAAGAAACATTGCACTTCGCCACGACACATACAGATCAACTTCTAGTGCCGCCCGCAGCTGTGCCCAAAAAAGTTCAGCATTTGTGCAAAATAGGATAACATGTTCAAGAGTCTCTGGAAAAGGACAAAGCGCGCAATTCGTGGACCACAGTACGAAAAAACCCTTTTGCACCAACCATGTTTTTACCGGGAGAACCCTCAGATGTAGACGCAAGAAAAAATTTTTTGTAGCTGTTCTTACGGGATAGCGTCGGAGCCGTTTGAAAACATCCGATTCCACTGCTGTTCCTCCCCACATCCGATACAGTGGGACAGGAATTAGCATGTCGAGCGTGTCCCAGTACAGGGTCTTTCGTTTCACCTTGTCAAGGTACTCATCAGAGAAGCGGTCCTTAAAAAACTTAATCGCTGCTTCAATTTCTTTGTAGAATTTTAAGATCCGCGAACGGGAAGATCCAGCCTCACCTTCTAGCCACTCTCCTAAAAAATTACCTCCGAGCACTCTGAAGGAGGATAAAACAATGTCGTTCCTCTGACTTCTGAAAAACATAAAACGGTGAACTTTTAACTTAAGTTCAACGTTTACTAACCCCAGGCCACCTTTCTTTTGGCTCAAAAACAAGTTGTCGCGTCTCATGCGCTCAAACAGTGATTCCCACACAAAGGTGGCAAGAAAGCGGTGCACTTTGCAAATCTCACTTTGTGCACATGGTCCCACTTGGGCTGGATACCATATGGTTGGAAAAAAAACAGCATTGCAGACAAAAGCCCGAGTAGGCAGAGACATCTGCCTACCGTGCCACTCTAACACTTTGACATTTAGACGGTTCAGATCGATTCCACCACGTCCCGTGCTGAGACGCTCCGGATTCAAATTCACTCCTAAATAGTTCGTCACCGAGTCCGCAAAACTTATGCCAAGAAATTGTTCCGGCTTGGAGCCCCATTCGCCAAGCCACGCTCCCTTTGACTTCCCCGGGTTCATTTGGGCACCGGAGGCAGTGCAGAAGGCGCCGATATGTTGAACCGCCGCCTGCACTTGACTTTTCGAAGAGCACAGCACTGTTAAATCGTCCGCATACGCAAGCACATTTACGGAGCCTCCCGGCAGAGTTAATCCACGAATGTTCACGTCACCCGCGATAGCTCTGCACATAGGTTCGAGGTAGAGCGCGAACAAAATGGGCGACATTGGGCACCCCTGTCGCACCGATCTGCTGATGGGGATGGAGGCAGTCCTGTTTCCGTTCACAAGCAGGCAAGTCGACACGTCCCGGTAGCACAGCTTCACGTACTTCAGAAGCCGCGCTCCAACCCCGCAGCTCTCAAGAATGCCGAAGAGGAATGAGTGCGATACACGATCGAAGGCCTTGCTCAGGTCTACTTGAAGTGCTGCGAGGGGCTGGCCGAGGACCTGCGCCGCTTCGCACGCGACTCGCATGGTGTGCAGATTTGTGGCGATAGTCCTGCCTTTGAGGCCGTAGGTTTGGTGTCCGCCTACGACGTCACGTAGGCCAGCGTCCAGCCGTCGGGCAATTACCTTGGCCAGCACCTTGTAATCCGTGGTCAGAAGGCTGATGGGACGAAAGCTGTCCAGACTGGGTTCTCTCCCACCATGCTTCTTCGGTATGAGAACTGTCAGAGCCTGTCGCATGGATGGTGGCATCAGGTTCCGTCGCCGAATGTCTTCGAAGACGTCACAGAGGATCGGGGCAAGTTCGCTCAGGAACGTCTTGTAGAAAACGCCGCCTAGACCATCGATCCCCGGAGACTTCCGTGGGGCGA